TTGGCTGTTGAACGGACTGACTCTTGCCACTCAAGCTAACAACAGTACCAAATCTAATTACCAGTAGAGTAACAATGAGGACATTTTAGGATGGTTAAAAATGAATATTGCAAATGCAAACGTATTTTTTATTGATATAGAAATGTTTCTCTATTTATTTGGTTTTTTATTTCTTCATCCCGTTGTTTACAACACTGGAGTTGTAAACACGTACTAAATATGTTATTTACAACGTTACAAATGCGTAAATTCAGTTATCATTTTATTGATTGTGGTTGCTACTGATGTGTATCAAACAGCACAATTGTATATATGTCCCTTTGCAAGTAATGTAGAGCAATTTTCAATGATAGATACTAATAATTTAAAGTTCTGTGACATTCTGTTGTACAATAATCATTCTTTATAGAAGATGTTATATTAACAATTGTTTCATTACCTGATAACATGGAGTAACATTCATTGTGTAAAATTACATCCATTCCAATAAATTTATATATTTTGTATGAAATCCTGGCGCGCATTTCTAATACATTATGCCATTCCGCGGGGTGGAGGGTTTGCCTAACGGCAGACATTTAACTCTCAGATATGCTTTCTAAGCGACGGAACAAAACAATACAGCTTTCAACCAGGTTTTGAAGTGTGCCTTGACAAGGTACACGTCTCTTTAAGGCTCAAGCAAGCTGGTCTCCTGGGAATGATCTCGATCTTACACCTAACTTGCATATCATTGGAATTTTCTGAGGTATAACATATAGATGTTGCTTAGGCATAATCGTCACGAAAGTAGATTACACAATCAAGGATTTAATTTCTCGAGATCTTCCTTGGACCACCACGATCGGAAGTAATCTTAAATGACTAAAGAAAAGGCTCTTCTAAAACGAACAAGTTTGTCTTATCTTTCAACTCCCTCGTGTCATCTTTAAAGTGCGAAATACTTTTACTGGAAGTCCCTACTTTTGGAGGATTGTTACCTTCCAGGGATCAATGCTTTTGTTGGGATTAACCAGCTGCCGCAAAACTGAATTGAAACTTTCTGATGATCTTTCTGGTGCTAAAAAAGTGGAAAAGGAAAGGAAGAAAAACAACTTAGGACCAATTACGCGCGTACTAGATTTCACTTACGATCTGCCAAAATCGCGTACAATATAGTTATATATAGACTGGGGAATATTTAACAATTATTCCACGAGCGCGCGTTGGATATGAAATGATAGATAGCCAACGAGGCGCGTAGCGCCGAGTTGGCTATAATCATCTCATATCCAACAAGCGCGAGTGGAATAATTGTTTTATTAAAAACGCCCCCAAGAAATTATTATTTTGTAAGAAGAAACTGGATATTTTAGCTCCCTTTTGATTTTAAGCTGACGCGTACGCTTACCATATTTGTAGGTTATGGTATATTGGCTCATATACCATAATGGCTTAGCCAATCAAAAGTCTTGAATTGCATTATCCAATGATCCAGTTTTTAATAAAATTATATATAGACTGGAATATAGTTATATATAGACTGGGGAAGACTGGGTATAGCAACAAGCAAAATGGCCGATATCCAACAAGTTTAGATAGCAAACATTGTTGCTAAAATCTGTGAAAGACGAAAGAGAGAAAGATCTCGGCCAAGATTTTTCAAGTCGCAAAAAACAACAATAACTTTCCTTGGAATTACCTTGTTTCTCCGTTGTTACCAAATTGCAGTTTTTCTCATTTACATCCTATTTAAAATTTTGCGTGTACTGTCGTCTTCTTCACACGACTGCGAAATGAAATTGGGTCTCCTCTTTTAAAAAGTAATCTTTACTTTTATATCGGACGACTTACCAGCAACGACTACTACGTCCTCGATTCTGAAGCAAGAAGACTTTACCTTGCTCTCCTTTATCAATAGAAATTGGTAAAACAGATCTCTCATTTCCATCGATTTCCGACTACGATCGTCGCATCAATTTCTACCCTCTATAACCATTTATTGTTTGGAGAAGAATGGTCCTGGTTTTCGTGGACAACTGACTCGCATTGAAATGGACGATAGGCGAAATTATGAAAATCTACTCATTTGCGTCGTCTTGATTTTCACATGACAAATAACAAATTTCTAAGATTTTGAAAAAACAAATAAAATGCTTGGGAATCACTTTTAAGCGATCCCGGTCAATTTAGCTCGGTAGGCAATGGAGAAGCTCGCTTTGAAGTTTCTTTTAAATCTCATTTTGACCTTCGCATCAGCGATTGCTTACTTGTCCTTACTTGACAACAGGTTTTTCCTTTCCTCCTTGGACCTAATTTCCCACTATCGCTAATCCTTTAGGTTTGGTTTTTGGTTTTGCAGCTTAGCGTTTTTTGGTTTCTGTCATGTTCTTTGGAGATTCAATATTTTAATTTCACTTTTTCAGCATACGGACACTAATGGGCAATGTGAAAGTTTAGTGTTTGTCAAAAATGTGTGGGCGAAACAAATTTACTATCCTGTCCTACTATTCCTGTCACCGAATTTCTCATGAGGATTCAAAACCCAGTTCGCTCTAACGAAGGGCTAACGCTCGAAACGTCAGCTTGAAACTTTTAACGGTAGCCTGTTTACATTATCAAAATTAAATGAGTTGATAAAACCAAATTACTTTGTTACTCCTACCGACGCAGCACCACAGTTTCATAGAAACTTACCGGCCATGATTGAATAACAGTTTCGCGTTTGGAAACTATTGCCAACTGAAACTTATAAGGAGTCCACGGGTTCATGGCTTGGCGAGATAACATCTCACGCATTTGTATGACTAGGAACAGTAGTTTCGATATTGGATTAGAAAGATAATAAGGTTCTGAATTTAATGTTTCAGTTCAATCAAGGAAATATCAACTGTTCATATTCTCTTGGCTCAACGCATTTCTTTGTTAACGATCGAGCTCAAACTTGTTTCCGAATCATTCATCGATCTAGCACGTTAACCAAGGTAACAGTGTTTTGCAATCATTGTGTAATCAAAAATCACGCCAGCGATCACGTTATGATCACCTTTTTCACCGTGATCACGCCTCTGAATAGGTGTGGTGATATTGATAGCGCTGTGAGCTGTGATTATGGTTCGATGACTGACAAGGTAAATTAGCAAGGCCCAAATCAGTTAAATGCTTTCTAACTTTAATTTTCTTCGAGTAAAATCACAACAGATGAGGAATGCTACAAAAAATGTAAAATATAAACGTCTTTAACCCTATCATGCTTTTAATAGGTAGATATATTGGAAATGCATAATTTACAACATGAGCTCTTTCGGCAGTTGCTTATATTTATTATGAAATGCATATAAACAGAAGTTTCTCATGGCTTGTGTCTTCAAGAGTCGGAAGCGTCCGTAAGTGGAGGTCAGAGTTATGATTTAGACAACTTGGGCCTGTTATGCATAAAAATAGGAATCTAACACGTCATCTGCAGTTTAATAACCCAATATCGTTGTTTTTGACTACACTAGTGCCGAGAAAAATTTCAGTTTCGTGTCGTCACTAGTCATGGCTTTCTTTTAAACATGTGTCGTATGAAGAAAACTCAGTGAAACTAGAAAAAAAAAACAGAAAAGAATGTTTTGAATATATATCTTTTATGATTACCATTGATTTTTCTTCTGGTATGTCAGATTTCTCTTCACCTATGACGATCAGAAGTTATTAAATATTGTCTCAATAACAATATTGATACAATGTACATTTTAAATCAGACGGGTACTAGAATGTACTGCCTTGGGTCTGCCTTGATTAAGTATCAAGTTCTTTATCCTAACAAACAAAGAAATGTAGGGATATCAGTCGTCAGAATTAGCCGAGAGATCTCGGGGATAACAAAGATCAACCCAAAGCTTAATAAATTACGTGTACTGATTACGTTACCATGATCTGACGTCATACCAAACCAGATACTTCCTTTTCTTGTAAGGTTGACGCATTCTTAAAAATGGAACAAGTGCGTGAATCCTGGAGGGACTAAACCCTAAAATGGTCACTCACACACATAAATACCGGGCACTTTCGAAACGAATTACAAAGTACGGTCGTGAATTTCCAGTGATTTTCCAGCAACAAATTTCGCACCATCGTAGGTGAGTGTTACATTGATGTTTCGATTTGAAACTGTTCGGAGTTATTATTGGCTATCTGAGATGCACGACTGTCTTGAACTTAGATCGAGTTATGTACGTTTTTTCCTATCAGGTCCAACAGCCACCAGCAGTCTTCTGACTTTTTCACCAAACAAAAGATTTCAGAGAACAGGTGAGTTTCAAGTGCTATTCAAGTAAGACTGATCTTCGTCACCTGTTGATATAATTTCTCGCTCCTCACGTAACGATTTAGTGTTGGTCTTGTTTTCACTTCCGTATACGCGCCTAAAAATTGTGTCTTACTAAATAGCCGATGAAACCGATTTACTCTAACTAACACTATTTTGAAATTATTCAAAATTCTTTTTTGTCAGAACTCATGAAAACAACTGAAAAAAACTCTGGGTGAAAATGAGTACTGTAAGATTCATCATGTTTCGTTACACTCGTGCGTTCTAAACCTGAAAGTTGTGAAGGAAATGCTACGAGGAAATGTGGCATGACAAAACTGAAAGAATCGTTTTGTGACACCAAAAATGTCTCCAATTCTCGAGCATGAAAAAGACAAAAACACGACGAGAAGCCCGATAAACAACAAGATTTACTTCATATTTCGAGGATGAGGAAGAGTTCTAAATCACGTTCCTCGGGCGAAACGTACTTGTGGGTTCGAAAAGATTCTGTGACGACATAAAGCTTCCCTCTTCGAAGTATTTCCTAAGCGCTAACTTGAGGGACAGTTTCTTTGGATTAAGCAAAATGTTAATACCTCAATCCGTCCATTCAGTTTTTCATTCATTTTTTCATTTATTCTTTAAACGGTCAGACAGTCAGTTACCGATGGATCGACTGATACTCATACTTTTAATTGTTTATTTTTTTCATTTTTTTCAGAGGAGAGATATTAAAATTCCATCTGTGAAAATTCCAACGCTGATATTTATTCAAAAACAGTTTGTTACGTTACACTATCACCTGAGGGGATGACTGCCGAAGTTTTCAAACGATTGGTAGACGAGTGGTTTTTTACGATTCTCATTTATTTTTGGCTCCTGTTGAACGTGTGTACGTTACTTATATGCAGCGCACTAAACCACACAATCCATCATTGGCTGTTGAACGGACTGACTCTTGCTACTCATGCTAATAACAGTACCAAATATAGCTACCAGTAGAGTAACGATGTAGACATTTTAGGGTGGTTACAAAATGTATATTACAAATGCAAATGTACTTTTTAATAGAAACGTTTATCTATTTATTTAGCTTTCAATAGGTTCATTTAGTTATTTACAACACTGGAGATGCACATATTTAATATATTTAATATTTTCAACGTTACAAATGCGTAAGCTCAGTTATCACTTTATTGAATGTATACAATCAAAAGATGGAAAATCACAGAATCTAATATATTGCTACTGATGTGTATCAAACAGCGCAATTGTATATATGTCCCTTTACAAGAAATATAGAGCAATTCTCATTGATGGATACTGATAATTTAAAGTTCTGTGACATTCTGTTGTACAGAAATCATTCCTTACAAAAGATGTTCTTCTTAACGATTGTTTTATTACCTAATAACATGGAGTAGCATCTATTGTGTAAAATTACATCCATTTCAATAAATTTGTATATTCTGTATGAAGTCATGACGTACGTTTCTATGAGCTTCCAAGTCAAAGCAGTTTAGCAGTTTAATTATGCCATTCCGTGGGGTGAAAGGTGTGCCTCACGACAGATGTTTAACTCTTAAATATGCCTTCTAAGCGACGAAGCAAAACAAAACAACTTTCGACCAGGCTCAAGGCTCAACCTAATTGGTCTCCTGGGAATGATCTCAATCTTGCACCTAACTTGCATATCATTGGAATGTTCTGAAGTATAACATATAGATGCTGCTTAGGCATGATCGTCACGAAAGTAGATTCCACAATCAAGGATTTGATTTTTCGAGATCCTTCTGGGACCATCAAGATCGGAAGTAATCTTGAGTGACTCAGGACAAAAGGCTGTCAGTTTCTTGGTTGATCATCTTAAGCAAATAACCTGACTCCTTCTTTTCATATTGATTCGATTTTTGGTAGAAAGTCGGTTATCACATTTCGTATTCAATTTCTTGACTTGATATAGAGTCTTTAGAATAGGACATTTTCATTTCCTCTCTAGAGTAACTATCTCCTAACATTTGCTCAACTTATCTGATTTTCAGCCCTATATTTTATTCCTTTAAGAAATAGAATAAGCGTCTATGTTATCAGCTTGGTCGATTATCCTGTGGCGACGTTTACACCATAAGGCACTGCAAATCTTGAATAATGCCTTCCTGTACTCTTTATTAAGAAATCCATACACGGCCCAGTTTAATGTAGAGTTGGCAAAGACCAGCCACTTAACAACACTACCGAAATAAAACCTATTCGGGAATTGCTCGTTGAAAGCGCCATCTATAGCGTGAAATATGAGAAAGGGAAGGTACGCCAGGGCGAAAAGACCAACCAGGATACTTAGCGTTTTCGCTGATTTCTTTTCCTGAAGTGCATTGTAATGTTTTCCTCTGATCCAACGGCAGGTCGAGGTGATCTTTCTCGCTTGTTGACGAGATATTCGAAATATCTTGGCGTACATAAAAAGACAAATTACGAATGGTGCGAGAAGGTCGAAAAGTAACAGCAAAACTGAGTAACTCAGGGGAGCTGAGAGGTCTGCGCAGATCAGCGGATGGGATTGACTCCATAGAAAGTAACTTATAAATCCACTGATAAATGCAAATAGCCACACGAAGGCAACAGATGCGATAACGGTGTTTGAAATTTCACGGCAGTACCTTAATGGACGAGAAATGGCCAAATACCGATCAATTCCTGTTGCGCACAAGTTGCAAATGGAGGCACCTCCAAGGGAAACAAATCCCGAATTAAAAACATTGCACACAGTTCGTCCAAAAGGCCAGTGCAAGTAATGCGACAGACGAACAATCTCTAGTGGCATTACCAGCAAAGCTAGAAGAATGTCCGACGTCACCAGACTCAGGAAAAACACATTCGTTCGCGTCCTTAATGTGCGGTTCAAGCAAAACGCCGTACAAACAGCAAGATCACCCAAAATCGTCAGAGGAATAAGAAAGATTATTATACAGTTGCCGGTGGTCACAAAAACAGAAAATGTTGAAGAATTGCTCATTGCTCATCGAAGAATTGCTGAGACTTTCCTTTGAGCGACAGCAAAGAAACCAAAATTGACTGATATGTTGATCGCAAATTGTGGATCAGTTCCTTTGAAGCTTGCGCGGGTTGTTGTAGTATTTTCGAGGGATTCCACGGATGTCAAATAAAGGAAACTGCTTTTATCTCTTCTCCACCCAATAAGATTTGCACCTCTTGACAAAGTCAAGCAAAAAAAAAACAAAAAAAAAAATTGTTCCAGCTGTGCACTTGTAAACAACTATAGCAATCATTCCTAAATTCGCCAAGAAAATTAAACCACTGACAGAGCCTCAATATACATTTCAAAAGCCACCTATGAAGCAAGATTTTTCCATGAGAAATAATGACGGTTTTGATTGGATTTTCTCTGTGAGCACGACCGATATGTCCAATCATTTGGCACTCCTTGTGCAGCTGAAAAAGATAATAAGACAAGAAGAAAATATTGCTGTTAATAACCGTGTCATTATGACTGCTTTTTTAGATAACACCTGTTAACGATAAAAAATTAAGTCATCTATACCACTCATGTTTAAAAATTTTTAAAGAGATTTTAATTTACATTTTAGTTAAAGGAAAATTATTTTTTCTACATAAATACAATATTCGCACCTAAAGTCAAGCGTGAACATCGTTCATGAAGTGAATCGACTAATTGAAAGCGGTACGGTTGAAATAGGAAACTACGCTGAATATGCTTTTCTCAGCAAGTCATTATTCTCGGAAACCTTTATTTGGTTGGTTAACCACAATGGTCGCGCTCACCAACTATTCCTAGTCTATTATCTTTTCCGTCGATGCAAAGATGTAATTTG